GCAGTGGTCAGATTTATGGGCATTACAGAAGGTTGCATCTCAGAAAAATACAGGGACCTGTCAGCTCAGGGACATTTTGGAGATCCAGAGGAAGAGGTACGTTGGATTTTTTTATTTTTTTTTTTTCAAGATAAAGGGCAAGGTACTGAAACCTGCACTTTTACACACACACACAAAGAAAAAGCCACACCCTTTGGTTGTCCTCTTGAAATTTTTGGAGGCGCCTTGTATCATGGCTGGGAGATTTGCTGTCACTCATAAGCAAAGAAAGCTCTAAAGCTTCTGGGGCCCTGTGCAAAAGGAGATTCTCTGGCTGATCCAAGATGTAGTGCAAAGGTTTCTGCCACATGGGTCTTCTAACCCAGTGATCCCAGGTTTCTCAAAAGTGGTGAATATGCTATAATTTACTGTCTGTTCTCTGTTGATGGACATTTACGTAGTTCCCAGTTAGGGGCTCGCTCCTTCTTTCTTTCTTTCTTTTTTTTTTTAAATCCTCACACGAGGGTATTTTTCCATTGCTTTTTAGAGAGAATGGAAGGGGGAGAGAGAGAGAAACATCGATGTGAGAGAAACACATTGATTGGTTGCCTCTTGCAGGCGCCACCAGGATGGAGCCTGCAACTGAGGTATGTGCCCTTGGCCAGAATCAAACCCAGGATCCTTTAGTCCATGGGCCAACACTCTGACCACCAAGCCAAACTGGCTAGGGCTTTCTTTCTTTTAAAAAAATCTATCACAAATAGGATTTTTTATTTCTCACCAATAAAAGTCTGAATCAGCCAGTTCAACTCTAGCACCTGTTTCATCCCCCTGCAGCTTTTCCAGAACTGCTACCATCACCATGAAGCTCCATGAGTTTTCCAGGTTCAAAGTTGGACCTCTTCAGCATTTTGACTCTTCTAACAAGACATCATGGAGCAGATAAGTGGATTGGCAAGCCTTTTTTAGGCCTTTTCCAATGCTATCTGGAATCAATTTATTGACTACTTCTACATTTGATCTTAGCCAAAAGTCCAATTATCAATATTGACCACTTCTTTCCAGTCATTTGTCTGCACTTCTCGGGTCATGATTTCCATCTTCAGGATTTGGTGGATCTGTTGATGCTGAGTGAAAGAAATCTGATTTTTGCATTTTTTAGTAAAACCAACACAGTAGTCATGAGGTTCAATCATGGTCTAGTGAAAAAAAAGTACTGCCTCTTTTTGACTATAGAGTACATATTGTCATGGGTAATACCCAAGCCATGGAAATTAGGCAGTTTTTGCCCTGAACATCCTCAATTATTAGCTTGAGTTTTCTAAATGCAGTTTCATCATTCTGCAGATCAGTTAGGCTCACTTCAAAAACATGACCCTTGAGACTATCAGATGCGATTTTGGTTCCTTGAATTCTCATGACTAGTGTTTTTCCAACATTTCTTATGTTGAACATAGCTAGTGCTTTCACATCATACCAATCTTTCCTAGAAAATGGATCAACCACTTTCTTCTTGGCTCCTTTTTTGCCACCTTTTATAAAGTGCTTGTTCTTGCCGACTACCTCAGAGAGCCAAAAGTGTTAGGGACCATCTTAAATAGTGCTGCTGTGAACACTCTTGTTCATGTCTTTTGGTATGCATTTCTGCTAGATACATACTTTTGGGTGGAACTGTTGAATCATAGCGTAGACATATGTTCAGCTGTAGTTGATATGGCCGGGCTATTTTCCAAAGTGGTTCTGAGGGAATTTCCGTGTTTCTTCTCTACTGTGGTCACTCTGCTCCCACACCAAGAAATTCAACTGGCAGACACCAGCCTTGGCTATTCTCTCTACTCTTGGAAAGAGCCACCGGGGAGCTAATTCAAAATTTCACGGTTTGTTCTGTATAGTAAGCAGTCCTGTGTTGGTTTTTCCCCTGAAGCTGTTATCTGATTAACCTCTTATCTCTTCTTTCTCCCTTCAGCCTGTTTATTTTAATTTAGGACATCTCAGAAGTTCTTTCTCGTCACATAAAAATGTCCCTACAAGGGTAAATCTTAACTCACAACCCTTTGGTGTATGGGATGACGCTCCAACCAACAGAGCCACCTGGTCAGGGCAAGAGAAAATCTTTTAATTGGTCTACAAGAGAGATCTTTTTCTTGCATGCACGATTGTAATAAAATGTTGGCAAGTGTTCATAACTAAATTGTCCAAAAAAGCTTTCTTTAACACAGCAAGAGCTAGTAGAGCAAGGTTATGGAAATAGAAAGGAAAAATACTGTAAATGGGTCCTTATGGGTAATTGTAAAAGGTGTCATTCTATGCCTTGACTCCTGAACCCCATGCATTCTAGTTATAGATGAAACACTGGTTGAGATCACAGACTACATCTAGAAGGACAGCATCCTGTCCTTTCATGATATGGTCTCTGGCAGGGGCCATCTCTGAAGCTTCAACAGGCCATGCCACAGTTCTTCTGGAAGGCCACTGCTTTTAGGTAATGAGGAAAATGAAAAGACCAGCAAATGCTGTCAGGCAAGATTTCTTCATGTTTTGACAATACCAAGCCCTTCTGACTTCCTAGATGTTACTTTGACTTAGTACTTAACTGCTGATTAGGATGTAAACTTGGTAAAGTTATGGAAGATTCTCAAGTTTCAAATGATTTCTGTCTGGCAGAAAACAATCAGTTTTGCGTCCAATTTTCCAACCTAATTCCAGCATCCCTCTTCTTTCACTGTCTATATATACCCATTCCTCAAGGTCCTCCCCTGAAGCTTTCTTTTTCTGCTGGTCTCGTTAATGGAAATCACATCATTGATGCATGCTGACTTTTTTGTGTGAGGGGCACGTTTTTAAGTTTTAAAAAGTTACACCACGAAAATAGTAAAGTGCAGGGATGGTAATGCTGGCAGAAATAGGGCAGACGGGGGCAAAAATACCAATTCCCTAACAAATGATTATTCTAATGAAGGTGAACTGGTGACCTTTGCCGTGGAAAGGATCCACTGTACTCAATCTGCCACCAGTGGCTGGGAAGCAGGACACTGGATGTGTGGGGCCTCATTCCCACTACCTGCCTGATCAGTCCCAAGATACTATTTCCAGGTGATGATGAAGTGAGGCTGGGCCTGCCCACCTCATCCCTTGGTGTGTCCCATACTCATCATCGCCTGGGATCGTGGCCAGTCACTCAGTCTTTGTAGAACTGATGAATAATCCAAGAGCTAATTCTCAGAACAAGAGGTCATGGCTCTTTATGATTTAAAAAAAAATAAAAAATGTTTTTATTGATTTTAGAGAGGAAGGGAGAGGGAGAGAGAAACATCTATGAGAGAGAAACATCAGCTGCCTCCTGCACGCCCACCAGGGATGGAGCCCACAACCCGCAACATGTGCCCTGACAGGAATCCAAGGGCCATCTCCTGGATCACAGGCCAATGCTTGCCCGCTGAGCCAGGCCAGCCCCGCACTCACGACTTTTTATAAAACCCCAGGGTGTATGCCTCCTATTGGTTACCAGAGATCCATGGTCTACCCGTAGAAGGCAATGGATTGCCAGCCCTGATTAAAAATCTGTAATATTTATGGCTAATCCGATAACCTTGAGCCAAATTCTTAAATACCAGGTTCAGTCTGCACTCATTAAGGGGGATAACAGTAGCTCCCCTGAGTATAGTTAAGAAGGTCAAAGGATTTTACATTCTTCCACTGTTCGAATCCGTGTAGTGCGTCCAAGTTCAGCATTTGAGAGCCTCCTACCTACCAGGCATCAAGTTCTTCAACTCCACCAGACCACGACCAAAGCCCGCCCCTCTTGCACCGCCCAGGGGTGACGTAACTGACCCAGGTCCCTAATGACATCATCTCCCGGCCCGCCTGGCTCCATCCTCCCATTCTCCGGAAACCTACAACTCCAGCACTCGGCCTCCGGCTTTAGGTTATTTCTCTTTCTCCGTAGCCCGGACTCCTTCCCTCCCATCCTCCTACCTAAAATTTTCTACGCTTCCCGCCTTCCCTCAAGCTAGCAATTTGCGGTTCTTCCTGCTTCTCGGGCGAATAACTAACTCAAAATCGTTTACTCTCTTAATTAATCGCCTCCCCAGCCCGCCCTTAGCTCCTGACTTCTAAAGCTCATTGCCCACGCGCGGCCTCTTTCGGGTGTTTCCGCCTCCTGCCACCCACCCCGACACCGCCTTCGGCTCTTTCCGGATCACCTCAGTTCCTTGTTTCCCGGTCCCGATCCGCTTCGGCTATTTCCGGCTCCCTGGGAACTCCCATTTTCCTCTAGCTCCACCCCCATCACCACCTTCGGGTCTTCCCGCCTCTCCTTGTCTCCCGCTCAGCTCCTTTCGTCTTTTTCCGCCTCCCCTCGGCTTCACTCTCCCCATTCGGCTATTTCCGCCGGGTGGTCCGGACCCCTCTGCCCCACGTGACGCGGCCTCCGCCTCTCAGGTCCCCCTCCCACCTCGCCCTTCGTCCCGCCTCAGCCTCCCCAGCCTGTCCAGGCCACGCCGCCATTTTGTGTGAATTTCTGACTGCGGCGGGGGCCGGACAGCTGGGGCACCGAGGGCGGGCAGACAGACAGACAGTCCGCCCGTCTCCGCGGCCCGTTTCTCTCTCCCTAAAATCCTTTTTTTCTTACCCCCCTCGCTCGCTCTCCTCTTCCCCCTTCCCCCTCGCTTGCTCCATCGCGCGCGGCTCGCGCTAATTACACCCAACCACCCACCAGTGTCCGTGTACTCCGGGTGTCCTATTCCCGGGCCCGCGGGTGTGTGTGTGGGGGGGACTCTCGCCCAGATGAGGGCTCCGCGCCCGTGAGCGAGTGACCCCAGGGACAGGCTGCGGAGAAAGGCGGCGAGCGGCCCGCCGAGGCCTAGGCCGCGCGGCTTACGCGGAGGTCGGCGCAGAGGTGATTCCGAAACCGAGAAAATATATACCCATTCCTATCAGGAGCCCTCAGAGCTGAAGTGTGCCCCCTCCCGCCACGCCCAAGCAGTCCTTTTTCGTGCATTAACATCCCCTCCCCCCCAAAGGAACTATGGAGGCCGCGCCCGGGACCCCCCCGCCGCCGCCATCAGAATCGCCGCCGCCGCCATCGCCGCCATCAACGCCTTCGCCTCCTCCGTGTTCCCCCGACGCCTGCCCGGCCACCCCGCACCTCCTCCACCGCCTCCCGCTCCCTGACGACAGGTCAGGCCCCCGGCCCGGCCGGGGCAGCGTCCCCGGGGGGAGGAAGAGGAGGAGGAGGAGGAAGGGGGGCGGCCGCCATGTTGGGCCGGGCCGCGGAGGAGGAGGAGGAGGAGGA